CGAAACTGATTAGCAGTGAAGTACTGCGAAATAATTTGCTAATTCCATTCCAGATGAAGATATCAAGGGCTTAAGTACAGCCGTGAGAGAAATAAAAAATGCTGTACGCAGCTCAATCTGGTACAGCTTACGTGCACATTTATATGCCTGTTAGGTAAAGAATTTCTAGCCGATCTTGAGGAGACATCCAATTAACGCTTGTGTCATGGGATGCGAGTTGCAATCGGCCGGCATTTACAAGAACATCGGAATATGCGACAAACCGGAGTGATGTCGAGATGCTCATGGATTAGTGAGAGACAACTATGTAGTGAGGAGTAGCGTAGTGAAAGCTGGAACTTGGTTACTATGGCACTCTCTGTGCAGGAAGAAGCTCAGGAAGTGCGCCCATTCAGAATGAAAGGACATACCACGAACGAAGAACTTTCCGCAAGAGAATAGAGGCACACAGCAGTTTACTCGTCACCTATGAACTTCTTAAGTCTGATTATGATTTCGGAGGTTTTTGACATCTGCATCAACACTGCGCTCCATATAGAAGATGGTCCATCAGCTATTTTGCTCAAATGCAATAAGAAAATAAAGGTCTCGGTTCATTGTTCGCGGTTCCTTTAAATTTCGAAGTAGATTTTGATGCGAACTAAGAGAAGACTGCTAAACAAAATCTTTCTGGGCGGCTCATTAAAATAGGCCACACGGAATGGATATTATGAAATAATTCAACGTTTATTGGATTGCCATCATTTTCCATCACAAGATTCACCTTCCTAAGAACAGCACTAAAAAAGTCCAGAAGACTTTGAGAATGCTGACTTCCGGAGACTCGACCTACTCGTATGGATCAAGAAAAGTCAATGAGATTGAATGCGAAACTCACGGCATTTAATTTTAATTGCCATTGAAGAGAATAGCTATGTCGGAATGAGAACGCCTCAAATCTTTTCGACAATCGATGGAGATAATCATGGGCACTCAAAATTCGCACTTTACTCGGCTGACGTTTTGTGCTCACGAAAAATCCTTCGCTTGCTAACGAATGCATAACGAGCTAGCGAAGCGAAATACTAACAAAGATATAATATTATTCTCACGTTGTACTAGGTTGAAACTCTCAAAAGTACACATTTGAAACGGAAGTTCTGCAAAACGACGCTCACACGACACTTTGTGATTTCATTGGGTACCCGGCGTGTATTTCGCCATCCTTTCTTACAAATTCGTTTCGCTTATCCTTGGAACGTAAATCTTATTCAACTGTTCTTTTGACCATAAACAGCAATACTATGAAAAGCTTATGATCTACAACAATTTTCAAAACAGTTTCAAAGGAATTTAATTTTTTGGAAACATCAAGGAACTACAAAACCGTAAAAGAAGGTAAGTTCGGCAAGACAAAATTTTGTGAATAGTGTCGTCAGAAGTGCCATAGAGATTATTACAGAGTACTTTATGTAAGGCAGTGCTTCGCGACGTGTCGACAGAGTCGCGACTTTAAAGGGCCTCGATTCCCAGTGTCATAGCAATGCTGTTCAGGTTTGGTCCTCCTCTAATGCCATTAGTGCCAAATAAATCTTATTCAGATTTATCGTCAAAAATCATAGCATGGCTTGAAGCCGAAGAAAAAATTAAGCTACAACTTCTGCATATTCTCATTTGGAGCGGAAGGCTAAAAAATAAATCTTTTTTGGGATATTACGTTTTGAAAAAATAGCAGACTCTAAAATTTTTATTATAATAGAATTCCAAGAGAATTCCGTGAAAGTAGAGGGGTGCGCTAAAGGCTGCGATGTCTAGGAATACGTTCAAACAGAACTGAGTCAATAAATACGTTAGCTTAATAAAGGACTACCTCTATTTTTCAAATTTCAAATGCAAATTTCTTTATATTCAAAATGAGGACTCTTTATTGCCTAATCCTTCATCGTTGTTGTCGCACACATAGCTATCAACAAAGATGTTCAGTTAAAAACCCAAATACCTTCATGACAATTTTTAGGAAGCTGTTAATAAAGATGTTCAGCTAAAAACCCATATATCTTCACTTCAATCTTAAGCACTGTTGGGGAACTTACAAAAAGAAAAACATGGCACACAATGCATGAGATGAGAGCACTCTAACAGGCCTCTTTTTAGCTTAACTTAAGTGGGCTCATTATCATTTTACAGGAGCGAATATCGCTCAAACACCCTTCCTCACGTAGCTACTAAACTACTCACATTTGAGACGATCAGCTGCTCGCCGCTGTAGGGATTCTCAACAACACAGGGAAGCCCGAAGTCGTTGAAAGAGTGCAGCGAGAGAGGCTAGAACATTGAATGAAGAGAGTGACGAGAAATTGTCGGCAGCAAATAGGCTCACCGTATGAGGATTTAGAAGCGTAGCAACTGCCCGCAGGCATGAAACGACGTTTGGCGGCAGGTCTCGATTTGCCAGCATGTCCACCACTAAACCTCGAGCTTCTGACACATTCGATGTTGACAGATTCTGAAGATAGTAGGTTTTATTTAAAAAGAAGAAAAAAATAAATAGAATGTAGGATGTGTCATTAGTTTCACGTTTGTTGTTAAATCTTGATCACGGTAATGAAAGAAATACTTAAAAGTACTATAGCTGATGAAACAAGAATGAACCTTTTGAAGCGCAACTGTTACAACTTCTCTCGCTAACTAACCCACAGTAGCATATGAAAAGATAACATTTTTGAAAAGTGACATTTCAGAAAAGTTGCTGGAAATAGCGCATGCTTATTTGTTGTTCTCCAAACGCACACCTCACTCTACATTTTCTCCCTGACTGACCACCCTTACAAGAGCTATCTTGTTGCTCTTTTATTTCATCAAACCACGAAAAATTCTAGCAGATGCAGATTTGAACAACCTCTTATTCGTGTTGTTTCTGGAGTTCCTTTCAAAAGCATTTTTGAAACACAACTTTTGCTCTGTTTTTCTCATCAATATTAAACACTTTTCATAGTTAAACTTAAACAGTTTGAGCCACTCTCCTTTTAATTCGTCATGATTGTGGCGATGATTTATTCACTAATTCTTATGCTTCCTATCTCAAAGAAGAAGCTGCTTCAAACTCAGAAAGGATGCGTGTAACTGTTT